GGGCCTACTGAATGATCTGGTTTTAGTCTTGTACAGAAATAAGAAGAGAATATCCCTAGATTGTTTTACATTGGGACATTTACTCTGACTTCTTAATCTTCATGTACATAATCCTTTCCACATTTGGGGGAGATTAATTAATAAAAATCCATTCTTCGTACAAGGCAAGTATCTTGTCAGAGACTGGCACTGAGAGGTTTGGGGTTTAATTTTGTTTATATTTTTCTTTATGTGGAAATGACCTCCTTTAATCTTCAAACATCAAAACTTACAGCAAATACCTGTAACTGATGTCACAATCACGTTTCTTTATCTTTAGTTAGTGTTAGTTACTGACTTACATCAGAAAATAAAAGCAGCTTGCATTGGAAAATAAAAGCACTTTTGTGCATTGGTGTAACATTAATATTTACCTGAAGTTCTCTTTCTTTATGTGTTCATTTGTTTATTTCACAAATATTAATTAAGCACCAGTAAAGATCTGCTATTTCCCAGTGGAATAAGCAATGAACAAAATGAATTCTCTGCTGTTATGGCGCTTCAGTTCTGATATAAATCATAAAACATTTTTAGGTGAAACCAGTGATTATTGCAGGCTTCCAAATTTGGGAACACTTTCCAGGGAAGATCATAACATGGGCTGTTGAGATGTTGTTTTATCTCCATTAAACTCTGTTCTAGAGGGGCCACTAAGCATTTGGTAGTTTCTGTGTCTCTCTAGCAACTTTTATTCTGAACACTTAGAAAATGATGGACGTGGATAAATCACATTTTTAAAAAAAATTTAACAAAATTTATAGAGTATTTTCTATGTGCTCCATAGTGTTTTAAGCTCTTTAAAAATATTAACATTTAGTTTTCATTACAATTCTACATACCGGGAAGTATCAGTCTCCCTGCTTTACAAATGAGGCAACGAGTGACTCGCCCTGGGTTACCCAGTTGGTAGGAAGGGGTCTCGGGCACCTGACCACTGCCCCGCTGCTTTCTACATCTGGGGTGAGAGATCTGTTTTTTTCCTTCTTGCATTTAGCATTTCTTTTAAATTTAGGTTTATTTACAGACAGATTCAGTGACAGTGGAGGAAGTCTGGGCCCTCCCATTCTATGGGTGCCTCTCCTTTTCAATCATGATTCTTTCACAATGAGTTATGTGTTTCATTTAATTTGTGTGGAATTTGTTTAATCTAATTTTACTTAATTTTGTGTTTGTCTTGTTCCTGCTAGACTTTCTGTCAGTTCCTTGAAGCAGGAAACTGGCAAATAGGTACATTTGACAAATAAGTAAAAGATGTGGATTATTGCAAATTCTAAAACTATTAGATCAGTTTACTTGAAATGAAGGATTTCCTCCTTTGTGGGACTGTGTAATAGTTTAATTTAGCTGTTTATAAGTGTTTAATTGTATTCTAAACAATAGGATAACTGGACAATAGGTCATAATGTATTGGAAAAATAGACCTCTGGGGGCAATACTATTTAAAATCTAGCATATTCAATGTATGTGTACCTAGAGGGGAAAGTGTCTAAGCCACAACAGATTCTGTTTCTTATATAGGTAGCCACATGGTGTTTCTACCCGATAGTTCTCCTGCATCTCAGGGAACTTTTGATTATTTGAGGTTACATTGCGTGTAGTACCTCAAGGAGATCCTGGTCCATTTCTCAGGGACCTGTTCTTCAGTTCTCACTTTCTGATCATTTGCAAACTGCACCTGATTGAGAACCTTCCTCAGACGTCCTATCTCAACCTTCTTTTTGTGCCCTAAAATATTTCCTTAATGCTCTAAAGCTACTTCTGAGATCCTATTTCTTCAGTGAATTTTTTAGTTAATTAAAAGAGAAATCTGGCTTCATCTTTATTTCTCCTTATCACACAGGAATGAAGTTTAACGAACATCCATTGTACATGATTTTTTTTTTACTTTAATTTTAATGGACTAAAATTTATTCCACACGTGAAAACTATTGTGAGTCTCTTGGTTTTATGCTTGTATTTTGAGCAACGAATGAGCTTGCTTAGCTCAGTCAACATCAATTTCAATTCCACTGGTCACGGGACCTTGTTTACTTTAAGAAAAAGTTCATCACATGTGGATGAATATGAAATAAAATGTTATTTGGTTTGCTCGGGTTGCATTAACAGAGTACCATAGACTGGGTGGCTGAAACAACAGAAATTAATTTTATCGCAGTTCTGGAGGCTGGAAGTCTGGAATCAAGGCGTGGGCAGGGTTGGCTTCTTTGGAGCCTCTTTTGCTGGTTTGTACATGGGCATCTTTCCCCTGTATTTTTGCGTGGTCTTCTCTCTGTGCATATCTGTGTCTTAAACTCCTCTTCTTATAAGGACCCCAGTCATATGGATTGAGCCCCCACCAATGATGTCATTTTAACATAAGTACCTCTTTAAAGACTCTCTCCAAATACATTCTGAGGTACTAGGGGTTGGGACTTCAACATATGAGTGTGGAGAGGGGACACGATTCAGGCACAACAGATTTAAATGTGTAACGTAATTGTTCTAAACTTTTATGACAAATTGAAACAAAAATTCTTTTTAAAGCTTCAAAGGAGGCCAGCGAAGACAATATCTTGAAGGAGGGGAATATGGAGGGTCTGGTCGTGATCTGGCTTAGAACTGGCTAAGTGATTTAGGGTAAAATTTATAGTAATTCATTTTTCAAATGTCTGCACTTTCCCAGCTTTTTACATTCAGTGAGATCTGAAGAATCTTTTAAGTACCTCTAAGATTCTGTGATTCTATTTTAATAACAGTTTTGTAATTAGACCTCACTGCTGATTTAGGTAAATGCCTGGAGAAGAATTTTTATAATCCTATGTTATAATCCTGTTTTGCCAAGGAAAATGCAAAAGAGCGAGGCTGTGTCCAACAGACCTTGATTTGAATTTGAGCTCTTCTGTATCAAGCAGGAGGAAATGGCTGTACAAATCCTTCTCTTGGCATCTTACCAGGTATGTGATTGTGAATGGGTTACACATCCTCCATCTTACCAGCTACGTGACTGTGGACAGGTTATGTGTCCTCTATAAACCTTACTTTCTTCACCCATAAAGTGGGAACAGAGTAGTTAGGAGGCTCTCCTCCAGTCCTGTCTCTGTCACTGTTGCCTGCTGCAGGTAGATACTGCCCCTCTGCAGACAGCTGACTCTGGGTGACTTGGTGCTGTGACAGCCTTTGCAGTCCAGGTGTGGCACTGGTCTCCATCCGCTGCCTGCCCCTCACATGCCATGGAGGCCACTTGCAGCTCGAGGTTGAGTGGAGCTGGGTTTGTATCAATGTCTCCAAACCCACTTGCTGTGGGATAGAGCCCTTCTGCTGGACACATGTCACTTCAGGGAGCATGGGCTGGTTCCAAGTGGTTACCATAAAATTAATTTTTTCTTACTTCCTATTCCTATATTTGCTGGTCCCAAATGGTTATCAGAAAACTCCTTTTCCTATATCTTATTACCAGGAGGCAAATGGTGAAAGTTTGTGGGACAGAGATGTAGTTTAGCCGCACACATCAGATTTCAAGATCCATGGGCTGCAGTATTGCCAAAAGTAAGCGCTGGACCTTGTGTCTACTTTTGAGCCTAGAGAAGTACCCACATTTTACGGCTTTTGTGAGGGTTAAATGCAATAAGTGTGTGTGTGTGTGTGTGTGTGTGTGTGTGTTGGGGTGGGGGATAGCACCATGCTTTCCACATGCTTCATTCTGTTAAATTGGGTGCTTATCTTTTGTGTTGGGATTGAATTTATGTAAATCTAGTCTTTAAAACCCTAAGGTGACTTTTTTTGTTTTTTTGATGGCTGGCTGGTACAGGGATCTGAACCCCTTGACCTTGGTGTTATAACACTGTGGTCTAACCAATGGAGCTAACTGGCCAGCCCCCACTAAGGTGACTTTTAGCACTAGGCTTGAATAGATCAATTGATTCAGGGTAAAATTTTGTTCTGGTAAAACCATTAAAACAAGTTGACCAGAGAGTTCTCTGTACAGGAATAAAGATTCCCAAGTTCAGTTTGGCTTACCCACTTTAGTCATTGTAGAAGAGCATTAAAATATGACATTCTTGGCTGTAGTATTTGAGCTGGAATAATTCCCATGAATTAATCCATTTAACATTGCTTTTCTCTGGTACCACTGCTGATACTTCCTCTTTTAGACTCTGTATTCATCAGAACTTTTTCAGTTGCAAGGGACAGAAACTGAACACAAACAAGCTTAAGCTAAAAAGAGAATTCATTTAAATTTAAGTGAGAAATTCTAGGGGTATAAGTATGTTTAAGCAGCGTTAGATCCAAGGGCATATAAGATATTATCAGAACATTTTCTCTCTCTCTCAATTGGATTTATCCTTGGAAAACTGATCAGAAAAATGACTGCCAGTATTGGCAAGGTTGTATCCTATGACTTCCAGTTGGAAAGGAAGAGCTTCTCTCTGCTTGTGTTATATATCAAATATCAGGGAAGATTTGATTGGTTCTGCTCGAGTCACACAGCCATCCTTTGCACCCATGACTGGCTGGTGTATAGAGTATTGTGGCCACCCTGGCCGTGTGCCACCACTGTGGCAAAAGCATCTTGATTAGCAAGCCCACTGGGATTACATGGGACGGGAGAGGGATGGTGTCCCAAAGGAAGGGTTGCTTAGCAAACAGATGACATATGTCTGGTACACATAACTAGCATTTCAAATCAGCAGAGGTTTAGTGTTTATTCCTTTAGTTTACAGGGAATGGGAAGGCAACTATTATAAAATTGTGCCAGATCCATTTGAGAATTTTGAACTCCACATTCAAAAAACCTGTTTGAAATGAGAAGATGTCATGTATTGCCCATCAGGTGGAATATACATTATATAGTCAGTCAAATAGTGGCAGCGTAATTGATGATTGCTGAGGTTGATTTCAATGTGGGTAATGTAAGTGAGGTTGATTGAAACGTGGGGATAAAGGAACAAAATAACAATGATTGACTTTTGTTCTTTTGGTAGGGTTGGATGACTGCCTGCAGCAGTATGTCCACAAGTTTGAACGGGAGAAGATAAACGGAGAGCAGCTGCTGCAGATTTCCCATCAGGATCTTGAGGAGCTTGGGGTCACACGGATCGGACACCAGGAGCTTGTGTTGGAGGCTGTTGACCTTCTCTGTGCACTGGTTAGTTCAGAAAAAGGTGGTCTGTACCGTGATGGTGTTCTTCAGAACCTCATTTTCTTAAATCCTAATTGTTTGTGATTTAACGTATCATCATTTTCTTAACGATCCATTGAAGTGAAGCACGAGTTAAAGATAACATAAGAAGGGAAGAAAATAAATCATCTTCTACATTAGGGGTTGGTAAACTATGGCCTTCCAGTTAAATCTGGCCCACTATTTTTGTAAATAAAGTTTTATTGGAGCCCAGCTGTACCCATTCATTTATACGTGTCTGTGGCTGCTTTTGTGTTACAGTGACAGAGTTGAGTAGTTGTAACAGGGACCATCTGGTCCCCTGAAGCTCAAAATATTTACTATTTTGCCCTTTACAGAAAAAGGTAGCCTTTTACAGAAAATGTCTGTATTAGTCTTATTTTCTTATCTTTTATAAAGAATAAAAAGATGAAGATAGTCCTGAATGAAAATGTCATCTTCGTAATTAAAATGAGAAATGGGTTCTGGTTTTCATGTCTGTTTTTCTTTCTATAAAAAGCATTTGAATTTCATAGATATTTGTGATATTTCAATAATCACAAATTGTGAAATTTATGATATTTCAGATGTTAGTGCTTGAAATAATCTATGAAATGGTAGCTAGATGGGAAAAAGATGTGAACTTCATTACATTTTGCAGATGATTGAGCTTTGGCTGTAATGTGAGTTAAATCCTGCTGGGTCCTGATACTTGCATTACACCTGTGGCTGCATGGGGAGCTCCTTCAGGTGTGGGCTAACAACACCTGTAAGGGCATTTTGTTTGCAAACTTGTCGGCATAGGTGGGATTCAAGTCTGCCCGTCATGGTGCCGTGCTAAGCATGCAGTTTACTTAACTGCCAGGACTTGGACCAACTCTGCAGCATTCAAGCTGGGTTAGTAATGCTCTGAACCCGAGCCAGGGGCATATACAATTACATCACTGAGAATGGTGGGAAAGAATGCACTGCCGATTCTTTTGCCATTGCTGGTCTGCGTTCCGTTGATTATATAACACTTGCTGCATTGTGCGTATTCTTCTTCTTAAAATGGACAGAGACTTGTCTTCTGCTCTGAGATGCGCTGCTCTTGTTTAGGAAAGTAATGGGGAAATTATTTGTGGTTGATAAATGAGCTGCCACAAGGGAGATGCTTTGGCCAAGTGGTCTGAGCACTGGCCCGGGAGGCAGGATTTTTGCATTCTAATCCTGGCTCTGTGACATGCTACTCCCTCTGTGACCTCTGGGGAAAGGCTGGCATCTGTTTTCTCCATCTGTACAGTAACACTCACCTTAGATGTGGCCGTGTGCTAATGTGTAAGTGGTTTGCACTGCCGAGAAGATGATGTCTGAGCATCCTGTTTATTATTAAAACTGGAGGTTTCTCATATTGTCAAACATGTTTGAGTTTCCTCCTGTACTCTCTGGGAACATGGCTTTTTGGTCTTTTCTGCTAAATGTTCTGCAAATTTGAATTGTTTCTTTCATTTTGCAGTAATACTTTGAGGACAGGTAAATTACTTGGAAATCCACAGTGTGGGAAATGAAGAGGCATGTTGCACAAATCAAGCGGGATGAGACACAGAACGGCTGCCTCTGGCATTCTCTGTGCTTTTTCCTCTTCCTTATGTCTTAAAATATTAGACAAAAAATGAACAAAGCTGGACAAATGCCAGAACCTAAAGCTGTGTTTTATCTTCTACAATTTCCTTCTAATTTCCTTTGTAGACCAAGCTTTGACCTCAGATTCATTCTGGGCCTGTTCTGTGCAACAGAGCGCCTCTGACTGCATTGAACAGGGGGCTGGGGGGGGGGCACTTGAGGGGTCACAAATGAATGTGCCTTTTCTGGGCTGGGGAGCGTTTTAGTAGTTTTAGTAAAATATCTTTAGCCTTGATATAATTTCCTTTTAAAATATTCTTATTATATTTCATGTTCTAATAATACTATTTAATCCACTTAGACCATATAGATCTTCAGATATATAAAATGGTGATAACTTTTTCTTTCAACAATCCATCGCCTGAGCAGTTAGTGTATAATTGCAGTTGGCCCTTGTGTTTATAAAAGAGGTTGTTGGGCCGGCCCGGTGGTGCACTGGAGAGTGCGCCGCTTGGGAGTGTGGCGGCGCTCCTGCCGAGGGTTCGGATCCCAT